TCTCTCTCTTTTTTTTTGATAAATGTTGACCCTTCAGGAAATATATGAGAGTGGAGTGTATAAGCGTACGTAAATACCGGAACGCGAATGTTTCAGAGAGGTTGCGTTACATGGAAAATAGCTCGGTAACGGTTTGACGAGAGCCACAGGGTACGGAAGCGAACGGGGAGGGCACTGCGCAGGATGGATGTAATTAAAGTGGTGACACGCTAGCCGTGGGGTATGTCTACCCCAATCCAAATCCCGCGCAACCCCCGGATCCTTGTCCCTCAAGATAATTCGGACACCGTGTAATCGATACGTCCTCTAGGCTAACGTACAGACAATTTCAAAATGGATAATTCGGGGACTTCCACCTCGCGTCTGTCGTGATCGTAAAACCAGTTTTCCGGCTCTGCTGTCATGTCAGAAAGAAAATATCGTCGACGACGAGCAGATATATCTGTACGAATATATCTATGACATCTCGCATAAATATCGTTCACGTAAATAATTGTGTAAACTCGGGTTACGATATAACCGTAATTTTATACACTTTGTGTAAAAAGGCATTTAATCATGGCGCATTTTATATATTATTTGAGACAGAATATTTGTCATTTTGAATAGAGCTATAACTTGCGTCGCGTGTACACATTTATCGTTTATACGCGATGTATGTACTATATCGCATATCCGTTTCAGAACGTGTTGTTTGTAGAAGATACACAAACACGGCATAGAAAAATTCTAATATATCAGCATTCAAATACAGACATCACATTTAAAACTGCATCTGAGCAAACATATTACTAGTGTTTCAAATAATTTACATACAACCGCAAAGCATGCACATACAAATTAAAACTTGAAGAAAAATCTTTTATCTTATCAAGTATAGTAATTAATACTCATATACCTCGATGCTCAACGAACATAAGTTCGTTTATATATGAAAAATGATAATAACGGATTGATGATACGGTATAAACGCTTATGGATATAAGCTCTTTCGCAGGCTATTCAGTAAACTACGAATACAAAAGCAAACGTAAAAACTTGCACATGGGATAAATGTGGTCAATCTTACATAATAATTCCTTGCACACCCAGCATCTCGCTAGAGTGATTAACATGGGGTAGTATTTAAGCCGATCACAGTGAAATCAATCGATTACTGGTGAACAATGTATGTAGGACCACGCGGATTACATCATGATTATTGCTGAACCATCTGTGGAAATGCTTTAATACGCTTTATGCAAATTTCGCGCCTAGTTATCCTCGTACCCAAGATTATAAAAGAATTAAGCTTCAGGAAACTATTATGCATTGATGGACTTCATTGTTAAACTATTCTAATTAATTATACATTTAATAAGGATTCGGTTGTTAAATGCAAATTAATAATTTTGAATCAATTATATTGTATAATATTATTACAGATATAATATCGTATCAATTACATAACATTTTGTAGGAAAACTAATTATTTTTTATATTATCGATAATATTGATACAAATTTTTGTTATCAAAAATTATGCACAAAAAATTCTTCATATTTAAGAATAATTTTTTCCTACTATAAAAAATGTAAATTTTTTATTTAAATATATAAGATTTAGTTTTAATAGTAGAAATTTTTTTGGTATCACATTAATTATCTTAATTTTTCACCATGTACTGTCATTAGCATCGTAGACTCATAGTATTCTTTAATTAGGTAAAATAAAAGTCCATCAAAGCATAAAGTAAAGAGCGTTATTAATATCTAAAAAGTCTATCAGACAATGCAAATGATGTTCATATAGATAATTTTGCATTAAAATTCATGAAGGTAGTAAGTAACTCTGTTCTGGCATTATATATATATTGATATTCTAATTTATACATCTGGTGCATATTTTATAACCTTATACATACGCTGAGCGAAATTATTGATTTATTTATCGCATTCATATTTTTTTTTTTTTCTTTAAACTGTCAAATACGCTTTTAATTAACAAACTAAATAACTGTTTGTCGATCAATACTCACCAGAATAATCTTAACTTCATTAATACGTGCGTTTGCCAAATCCGTAACTATAAGCGTGCACAAACTTGTTGCAAATACTCACCTAAAACAGAGAAATTAAATTAAAATTAGTATATTGTACGTGAAAAATATTTAGAACAAATTTTTATAATAGTAATGAAATGAAGAAAGAAATATGACACAATTATTTGCTAATTAGTTAGATAACATGATACATATTTTAGATGTAGTATTGTTTCATTATGTAAATATACCGCAAATTGTATAAAAAAATATAACTGCTCCGTTGTAGAAAAAATTTCTTTAATGTGCAGGTAATTATCGTGACCTCGATGAAAGATAGTAGCGAGCGAAGAATAAAAGTCGTTTAAAGGAGAAAGGAGCGAGCGCTCTCATTAAGTATTGAAAGAAGATAGTAGACGTAAAGGCGCGATGTTAATCATGGCTCGACATCTCATTATCGTTTTGATTAGCGCGTGTAACCGTCTCGGTCCCCGGCTGCTGTGGTTACGACCTCTCTACTCGAAGACGATCAAAGTTCCGCGCTTAGCTCAGGCACTTCACGGCCGAGAAGTAGTCTTAATGAGCAGGTCAAACGTTCCATTTTAACGGCACAATTATATTGCGACGAATCGAAATGAAACTGATGTCTTCATAAATTAGCACAGAGATTAGATTTTTTTTACCAACCAAGCGCGTAATTCATCAAAAAGTATAATTTCTACATTGTAGTTAATTCGACATTTGCAATAAAATATTAAACATTAATAAAGAAATATCATGCCATATTCTGGACAAAAGATAAAAATAGGTATTGTTTAAATGAATAAAATAATAATAAATATATGAGGAGAAATCAATGAATATTTTTCACAAATATAATAGAATAATAAATAAAAAATTCATACACATTGGAGAAAATTTTAAATAGAATGCACGAGGGGCAGCTTGGGCTTTCTCTATGCTCGCATACCGCTTGCGTGACAAATATTTTCTGCTCGAACAGATAATCCATTCGCACGCATGCCTGACCCAATTCAAGATACGATCGTGGAATTGGAGCTGCGAAGGAGTCAGCGTCGCATTTACCTATAGGGTATCGATGCGTTCCACGTGCACACGGTACAGTGAAACTGTCATATTTCATTTTACACAATACGCAATACACGTCTATTGCGTCTATAGCAGTCTGTGCGGATCCCCTACACAGATTTCCTCGAGAAGCAAAGGGGCTGTTAATTATAATTCTACGTCGATAATAAGACTAAGCCGCTTACGCAGAGTACGCAATGAGTTCGGCAGGATTAGATGTACATGCAGCGAAGCTCTCTCGTCTCTAATCGTCTTTGATCATTTAAAAACATGCATAATAGTAATAGCAGTGTCTCAGTCTTGTCGGTACATGGTTCTCTTTATTTATAAATACATTTTGCGATTGATTTAAATTAAATTCAACAAAGATGGTGCTTTTAATTCTTTATTTGTCAATAATAAAACACCTAAGAATTTTTAATAAATCAAGCTAATAAATAGTAAGAAAATTATAATCACTCTGTACGTAAATGCGACACCGGGTCATTTCAAGTTGCGCTATATTTTTGACTTTAATTACTTAGGGCAAAAATCTGACTTAATTTCTTACTACACACTTCAGCATCATGTTTCTTACGAAGTAGTAGTTGCGGTGCGGTATACTTGAAGCTTCGGTTTTTACACGTCTCTAATTAACGGTACCACGTACGACATTGTACAATGTAACTATAACTAAACTACCATACACGTACCATCGTGTAACTTGGCGATGCAAGAATTTGAGTAGAAATTACGTAGTGAAAAGGCGAGAAAAAACTGACAAACTCGTGAATCCAGACAAGAAAAGCAAAAGAAATAAAAAAGAAAGCAGTAACTTCGAGTTCGTAGCACATAATTATTTTCTTATAATTAACTGTAATTACACGAATAATTAATAATTAAGATTATCCAAGGTAAATGGCTTACGCCTACTGATAGTATTTGTGCGAAGAAATTATTTCTTATTACTAATTTCATTTATGATGCCACTTAGTTTTTTCTCAGTTCTCTTTTTATATATAAAATAATTATTAAATAATTATACTAACTACTTATCGATACATTTGATCAATTAAATCTTGAAATATACAGTACCACTTTTTAAAACTTTAATATAACAAGTAGATGTAGCTATATAGCTATAGGTTTAGATGTTATTAATCACACGTATCAACTCTTTCATAAATTTTCCCTGATTCTGCGGATTTTTTGCTAACACGTGGAAAATGATCTCAGTCCCATTGGTACCTGAGCGTCGATAGGAGGCACTGCGTCCATTAAAGAAGTTTAACCTATTCAAGCGAATGACGATGAAATTGCGCGCGTATCCACTTCGTCGTTCAGGCAGCGTTTAATGGTTAATGGAGTTCCAAATCAAATTATTGCTAATGAGTAAAGTTGCCGAGGGTACCACAGAGCGCGCACGCCACTGAAGCGAATACTGCCTGCAAATTATACAGAGTGCCGAGCACTTACAACGTGTCTTTCGCGAAAATTACACGCAAGTGTGTCGTCGGCGAAACTTTCTGCCGGTCCGCGATGCATTACGAAACCGTTTATATTAGCCAATTGCCAATTGCTCCCCGTTCAAACTAGATAAAAAGCAAATCAAATAATACAAGTCGTGTCAATGGCATTTGTGATTGTATGTGCGTGATTTAAAGTGATTCTTCAATATAATTTAATGCAAGAAAGAGAGAGAGAGAGAGAGAGAGAGAGAGAGAGAGAGAGAGAGAGAGAGAGTGTGTATACGCGCACACACTTGCGGGTGTGATGCATCGTGAGGAAGTAAACTTCTATCTGTGTCAATCTCTCTTTTAACGATGTACCAATGAATATTCCGGTAATAAAGTTTAATCGTTTTCAAGACTGTCCAACAATTGACTCAACGTTTTATCGAAATCTCTGTTTATTTTCATGTGAGAATCGTTTTATTGGGCAACTACACGTCTTATCGAAGTGCGAAGAGTTCTACGTATATAAAAGTGAAAAAAAAAAAAAATCTTTGGCACGAGAGAGCGGCGAAAAGTATTATGTAACGCTTAGAATACGGCGTTTGCGAATATCCAATCGAGGTAAGAGCTCACGCGGGTGTATATCCCCGGAAATCCAGGTTCGCCGCAGCGAATCCCCCAAGATACGATTCCTATGTTGACCCATCTGCCGTTACTGAGTTGGTGTAGCAACGGGCCGCCCGAGTCGCCCTGAAAAAAACGTCGTCTCATTGGACTCGGTAATGTGTGTAAGTTTATCTCGGTAGTCCATAAAATATTAATTGATTTATTTCTCGGAAGAGCATTCATTAACAATGAAGTCTTCCAGCTTAATGCACATTTAACATTTCGCCAATGCGATCGCGTCGTGTTCGATACACTTGGCTATATATGAATAAATCATTATCTTACTTGACAGGCGTCGCGACCACCCTCGTAAGCGCCGGCGCACATAGTGGTATTCGGGATTCGTTGCGTGAAGCTGCGAACGCATCTTTCTTGAGGCCACACCGGTATTGAGGCTTCCATCAGCACTGTGCTGGCGGGCCCTCCGTAATATTGCGTGCCCCAACCTTGTTAACAATTTTTAACATAGATTACAAAATAATTTGCTTTTTTATTTCTTTTTGTTCACTGTTCAGATAATTATTTTTGTATATAAGATAAATGTCGAATGGATCGGCGAGCAAAGCGTTTTTTTAACATTTTAGGAATAATATTTTTAAATCCATCCACATTTATTTTATATTATTTTTTTTGTATTTATATAATTTACTTTATACAACTATATATTTTGTTTGTAGCACGGAAATAAATAAGAAAGTCAGCTAACTGTTTTTAATTAACAGGTAAGAGTTTTATTGTTATGATTGAAAGAAATACCTTTAACGACAATATTAAAATGTAATACATATTTTTTTGCACTAACCAGTGACGATGGCACTTTTATTCTCAAATGTGTGTTGAATGGGCGGAAGACAGATTGGCCAGATGTAGCTGTTAAACGTGGTGGGTCGATGGATTTTAATGATACCGATGTCGTTCTCGTAAGTATTCAATCTGAAATCTCTATGCATTCGTATCTCCGACACCGTAAAATCCAACGATCGCGTCTCTCCGGACTCGGTGAAATCGTACTCGCCGAGTCTTACCGTGATGTCGCGTGGTTTGTATCTGAAAAGATACGCGGTATATAACTGTAATCCGCCGTCGTGTAACTGTTCATTTTGTGGTTGCGACACAAACGAATTCCGCGCGTATATTACGGACGTTCGAGCTTCAGAAAGATACAAATGTGCCGACACGCCGAAAACATTACAAAGTCTAAGCGCGATCCCAACGGCGGACGCGGCCGCAGGAATATAAATATGCAGTGTCTGAAGCGCCGAATTCGTAATCGCGCTACATATATTGAGACGCGACAATGTATATTCTAAATATCATGTGCAAGTTCCATTTTTCATCGCAACTATCGGGTAGCCGAGAACAAACTTCGTCGAGATTTAAGTCGATAATAAATTTCGCAATAAAAAAAAAGAACCGCGCGAACTTTGTCGGTTATCTGATACTTGCTGCAATTAATTTTCTTTATTACAGACATAAGTCATAATCAGCTTATTTTATTATTAAGACTTGTATTAAACTCGATTGTACGCTGTCAATATACTTTGTTTGCGTAATATACATCGACGACAGCTACGCCAAGGTAACAAAGTCTTGGATTAATATTTTATAATGATAAAATGATATAAGATGCACAGATTTCAGCACTGATATTAGTTAAAAATACTTGAACTTCGACCTTACTTACATAGAATTAACGTTGTTTTAGATGTGTCCGTTCATTATTAAAGGTTACGACGCTTAATAACTTACCTGTAAACACAGTGTGCGGCAGTAAGTACATGTCTATCGGTGATCAACACACCCCCGCAATACTGAATCGCGCCTTGCCTGAGAAGAGCCGCCATCCACGGCCACTCTTTAGGATCAGCCGGCCGGCCACCCACGACTCTGATCTTTGTTCTTGCGCTCGTGCCGCATCCTCTGGGTCTTCGTGGATTTCTCATCTCCTCCTTGGTATCCGATAAAGTTGCGTTTTTCCGCAAAATCGTATTATTGTTGTCCGACGACTTGTTGACAGATGGTCCATTCTCGTCCTCATTCTCGGTGACTTTATCCCACTCTTCTCTGTCGTCGTCTGGGTCTGCGATAAAAGAATTTGAAGTACGTACTCTCACTAGTATGCAAACATGCTACTACTTCATACCGCGAAAGGCACCGATATTTATCAAGAAAGTACACCTTAAAGCACTTTCATCGAGATATGTTAACTGATGAAAAGAAATTTACAGCAAATAGTTGTACGTAAATACGAGAAAGTATGTGATTAATATCGTTATTTAACACAAAAATATTATTTTTTTACCATTAAGTATGTGGAGAAAATATTTGATTAATTTAAATATTCTACGAAATTATACCAAGCACCACTTTTCTCTGGTATTAAAATAATTATTTAAAAATTTTAATAAAATATTCATAAAATTATTAATGAGAAATAAGTAATTAGGTTTATACAAACTTGCTATCGCTGGTAACAAGCTGGCTAAATCATCATCAAAAACTTTTTCCGATCGAGCTGTCGCGACACTGTCCGGGCAACACACACCGACGTACCTACAATAAAGAAAATGTTAATAAAAGAACAATCGGTGCGTGAAGCACTATGTTAGCTTACGTCTGCTCAATTATGCACATATAATCCACGAATCGTGCAAAGTTCGAGCGGAACTCCTCAAGGACGCATCCGCTGAGGTGTTTACAGTGACCGCTCTGATTACCCAGTGCAGTGCAAGCTTGATACGTTTTCTAAATAATGTAAATAATTATTTTGTATTAAATATCAATTGGATTTGTAGATAAACGCTCTACACTAACACACCTGTTTAGTTGAAATTCCAGGACCTAGATTGATAAGCCGTTTGCCGCGAAAGTGCAGGTCGGAAATGTTTTCCGGAAATCGATGTTCCAAATGTTGAAGACGTGCTAGCCATTCCTGATTCCCGACCAGATCTGAGAAATATGGGATGAATCATATACATCGACGAACACATTGCACGTGAGTGTATACTTGAATATGTGAATAACATGAAGCGAAATTTAATGAGGACCATCGAGAATAGAACATCCGGAAGATATATTATCACTGTAACATGATTTGACTGTTTCCGTTGAAAAAAAACGTCTTTCGAGACTTTCGCAACGTAAAAGCAGAACTCGATTTGTTATTCAGCAGCGACTCACAACCGCAATATTATATTTGCTTGTGGTTATATGTTTGCTGCATTTAATGCATACGCTCTAGAAAATATTGTGGCCAAGAGAAATGTGCATCTTATTAAATTATGACAGACTTTATCGATTTCTAATATAAAATTTAAAATAGCATTATTACGGTTTACAGTTTATAACGTTATTACAGTTGTTACATGGTTTCTAAAGTAATTCACAAGTATTACCGCGGATGCGGTATAATTTGACATACGTCAACTGTGTGTCCTTATTTTTTATTATTTTTTTATTTTTATAAACAATAACAATTTAAGGTAAAATTTACTCTCAAAATAATATTTATTCTATATATTGATCTAAAACATTATTTCTATCGTACAAAAACAGCAATTAAAATAATTTAAAATTAAAATTACAAATTAATAAAAATTATATTCATGACATATTATTAAATATGAAAAATTATTAAATATGAAAAATTAAGATATACATATATATATATATTATTAAATATGAAAAATTAAGATACTTAGTGCATAATAATGCTTACCTATAATACTTTCGTCGAAGGAAGTAGGAAGACATCGGCAATATTGAATATACAATGAAAATAGCACAAGTTGACAGATTTTTGCAAACATTGACATTGAAATTAATGTCGGTACCGGCTTTTGAATGACAACTGCGAAAGACGACGGCGGCTTTTTAGACAACCTCGACAAGCAGAGAACGGACAATGACTCCGAAATATGGAAAACCGTCACTTATATACACACGCCTGTATTATATGAAACCGCTCAAACACTTCTTCAAGTTGGACGCCCTTCACTAGGCGTTCGTGCATCTTGCTCTTGCGCGTTGTAAATTTAAAGAAAAATAGCGATGTATATATTATATTTTTATTCCTATTTATTCAGTGCATAATTATATTAATTAATTAATTTATTTTTATAATTTAATTTGCATAACTAACATAATTAACATATTTGAAGATATGTTATGTAACGTAATTGCATAATTAACATATTTGAAGAAAAAAAACTTTAAAAAAAAATGTATTATAAACTATTTTCCAAATTTACAGATTTTGATAAAGTGCTTATTGCAATACAAGCAATAAGTATTTAATTAAAATTTGCTTTCTCTTTTATAATATATTCTCTTTTATATTTGCTTTTACACTCACTTTGTCGAATTATTAAAAGTGCGCCGTGCGCCGTGCCGGTTCGATGTGTCGTTTCGACATCAGCTCTGATCATTCAATAAACTCATTACCTTAACGCCACATAATTGACACAAAAGGCTAAGACGGCAGATCAGGAGCCATTTCGTGGAAACGAAGAAGCTGAGAGGGAATTACGCGTGACCTGTCCGAACAAAGGTTAATTCATACGAATACTCGGCGCATACACTTGTCGAAGCGGGGAGTAATGGACGGCCAGTAACTTGAGAAATATTCGATTCCGTTCGACGTTTCATTAAACGCTCGACACGCAGACTCCGCATCGGCGTCGGGATCAGCAATACTCGCTGTCTCTAGAGCTGGAGAAGGATAGCGGGAATATGGACGAGGATATGGACGAAGTGAGTCGCGACGGGCGAGAGGAAGAAGCTCTCGGGAGAGAGAATGAAGAAACGGAGCTCTCTCTGCCGAGTACTCGACAGATAAATCCAATGGTCTTCCGTCTTCGTTTCTAAATACGATACTGGAGAAAACAGGCATCACCCACATACCTGTCCAGGCCATTGGCATCGCCGAGTCACACGCGGACGCACGCATATGCGTACGTTTAAGGATACGCAAGAGTGCACACGCTTGAGTGTCACATGGGACGACGATTTTTTTTTCTTTACGGAGTATTTACGTGTACGGTGAAAAATATGGGGGAGATGTCGCCGTAACGTCCGCTGAATAAATAATAAATTTTACAGTTAAACGACGGAATTTTCACATTGCGTTAGAAATGTATGCAAGGTGAGTGCGAGTGAAACCGGATCAATTTTCGGGAAAGTTATTCTAAAACTTCAAACAATAGTACTTTTAAATAAGTAAAAATATTGGGATTACCAGCTTTACCTCATATTTCCGCAAAACAATTTTTGTTATTTTTCAATACAGACAAATATTTTTGCATTTTTTTTGCAACCCGAGTCATCCGATTATCAAATCAATCAATGTTTCTTCACCAATCTCAGTACGCCACATTACTAATAAATAATTAAGGAACGATGTATTGTATATTACATATTATGGTAATGAAGTTAATTAAAATAAATACGACTATTAAATCGTATAATTATTAAAAAGATTTTAATTACAAATAAAAAACAAAATAAACAAATTGTGAAAAATAATAGAATAATACAAATATTAGAAAAAGTAAAATTATTTAAAAAATAGTAAAAATATTTTGTAATAAAACTTGTGATATTAAATATAAACCATTTTAATATTTCAGAAATATAAGACTGCAATTGAAAGACATGCGCTCCAGCATTTTACGCAGCTATCTATTTATGTACGCGCCATTGATCGCTTCGAATGAGACATAATCTAAAGTCGACTATGCTGATAACAGATCGTTCTCATTCCGCATCTTTCCTTTTCTCGGAAATCGGAAGAAGTAAAATCCGCGAATCTACAATGATGAGAGAAATTTTGGAGCTACGCCAGAATTAAAAATGTGAGATAATTATTAGTTATTTTGTTAAAAATTTTTATTATTTTAATTTTTAGAAAATATTTGATTATTTTCTCTTCTGCAAAAAGTGAGCCACTTGATTTAATTATTTCAACGACATAAAACTTGGACGAAGCATTTCGTGAAGAACGAGAATAATAAAGCGTGTAGTATAAAACAGTTTTTCAATGTTCAAAAGGCACACGTTCTCTATGCTTATTTTCTATATTATATTCAACATGTACAAAAGACATGGTCTTCGAGTCTTCAAGTGCTCGCTTACTGTATTGTCAGTTTAACAGTAAATTCGTCACGTCGTGCTCGTCGCTCGCATCTCAAAACTCGTCTTTGACGTCGCACCGAAAAAGAGGCTTTCAAGACATAAATAGTTCTTCGTGGCAGAGATTTCGCATTTTACGAGATTCGCGTACGTTTTATGTGCAACAAAGATTGATTTGTCACAGAGCAATTTTATATGAACATCATGAATTTTTCAGAATGTTTTTTATTCGACATACGCGAGACTTTACTTCCGTAGAAGAAATATAATATTAGCCACTCGCGCCCTGATATTTTTTCTCTCTTTCTTTCTCTCCAATAATTCTTATATGTAAGTTAATGTTTCTCGATATATGAGAACAATATACTTATAATTTCGTACACATTAGGTATCTCGATCTGAGATCGGTGTACAATCTAACTGTCTCTTGTAGACTAATTTATTAAAAAATTCTTTATGAAAATAAATTAAAAATTTAGCACACACTAACATCCTGCGACGGCTCTTGATGCCATTCTATTTTTTTTGAAATATAATATATTTTTAGTATAACTGAAAGCGAAAATCTAGATATTGAGTATCGGGATTACGCCTCGGTGAGAAATTGTCATCACCCACATGCTTGGCACGTCTCGGGATCTTCTATAAACTTGTTTTACAGGATCGGGAGCGCAGATCTTTATCCCGATCTGTTTGTGAGTAAGATTAATTTGACGTCTTATTTGTAATCCTCTC